ATGAACTTAAACGCGGTTGAAGAGGGCTGCTTGCTCACGGGGCAAGCACAAGAATTGCCATAATTTTTATTCTCTTCTTATCTGGGGATAGTAGAATCCCAAGTAGCAAATGCGTATGGTGTTGTACCAGCTAGCTAGCTGCAGTTCGAATTTTTTCCTGGGACGACGCGGAGAACAATTGATTTTTCGATTATTTCAACTATCTACGAGGCGCCAATATTGATCGAAGATGTTCGATCATGACAGCGAAGAATCCTTGTCCCACGGAGAAACCTTTCAAGAAAGCGGGAAAAAAGCAAATAATTCTTCGTGTTGTGGGTGTGAATCCTACTATAGCCGATGCGATGCGTCCAGAATGAACGCCGAAAGGTGCATGCGAACTTGATTGTAGCTTGTACACACATAACATTCTACCAACAGCCGGGGGGCGTCCGACGACGTGTTTTGTTATCGCTCTCGAAGTACATGCCTGGTGTCTTTTTCATTGTGGTCTGCTGTGTGTGCCGGAAACTGAAGCGCGGTCGATGAAACAAAAACTCTTTTCTCTGATAGAGATGGATTCGTTGTGTCATACCATTAATTAAGAAAAAAAACAAAAAAAAGACACCCAGCACATTGTGGCAAATCATCCGCTGTATCTATCGCCCTTCAGATCGATTGTGGACCGCAATTAATCGTCAACAACTTGCTTTGTTGTAGCGACAAACCTGCCTGGGGTTGGTTCGAATATCATACGGAATGAAGACTTGAAGAGAATTCTTGAGGAATGTACTTGTACATAGCGTGCCCATTTCTGGAGTGTTGTGTACTGCAGCGTTGAGTGTCGGTGGTTTGTTGATGCGGACTTTTCCAGGCCGTCCGATCGCACAGCAGTGACGACCTCGACTTACCTGTGCTTCCTAAAACTGGTGTGTTCTACAACCAAGTAAGTAGGTTACCGCTGCGCGTATCCCTACAGCAGTATCGTGAGCCGGTAGAGTATATTGTGGCGGCTCTCGGGTGGTTTGCGGGGTTTAGAGCAGGATGTTGTTGTGAAGCAATGCAGAGATACGTGAAGTTTGAAGTCGGACACGAAAGCCACTCTACATTATTGGACTGGAAGCGGGTTCCGCTTTGCTCTGGGCGCTGCCCTCAATATTCCCGGGGCAAGCCGCCGCGGTTTTGTTGGGTGGGGAAGAACGAGGAGGCGCGGCTCAGCCGCAGATTGATACATCAGAACATCAGACCACAGACCACGGAAAGGCCGACGGCGAAATAAAGACGATCCATGTTGACTACAATAGGCAGCCGCTGACCCAATGGGCGCCAGTTTTCGTCCTCAGCTGTTGTTCCAGTGATATCTCACCGCTCGTAGTTTCTCCCTCTGGTAGAGCGGACGCATGGCCTATCATCGTTCACTGACGGAAGAGCTCTGATACTTGCTGTACGGGGTCACACATGACACACCTGCACCGCCGTGTGTTAGCGTGTAGATACTTGCTGATGCACGAAGACTGGCCGGCGAATATTGCCACCGCTAGCTTGACAAAAATGTGTCACGTTCCGCTTTCGAGACTGCTGTTCTTACCCCCGCTTCTCAGAGTAGTCAGAGAAGAGAAAGAGGAGCATCCAGAGATTAACACGTCCATGATTTGGGTATGGGCGGCGTTTGGACACACGCGTGGGGTCAATTGATGCCCGCGCGTGAGAGGCATCGCACACATGCATGCTGGGGATGAATAGAAAACTACCACCGGTGGTTGATACACATTGGCTCTTCCAATTTTTGGCTCGAAATTTGAACGGAACCACACACAACAACAGGCAGGGGGAAATGGGAAACATTGGTACTACGTAGTGGCCCGTGAGCGACATCACGGCCCGCGGGGAGCGCGAACAGAGGTGCTCAAGCAAGAGATGTACGACCGGAGCAGCATATGTGGCGTGGGACGCACCGCATCTATCCGTGATTTTCAAACCTTCACTCTACGCTACATGTATAAAAAAAGCTTCCGAAAAATATCTAGGGCGCGCAGCAGATTACAAGCCGGCCGGGGCTGACGACCGCAAGCAAGGAGTCACAAGACACGAAAAGAACGCCACCCCCCCCCCGACGACGCACACGTCTGGCTGGCTAGCCCTCGCTCTCACCATGACGTTACCCATCGTGACGTCGTCCCCAGAGAGCTAGAAAGTTAGGACGCAGGCGGCCCTCAAAATTGAAATCCTTTGTTGGCCAAGGCCAAACAATCGAAGGCATGTCTGATGAAAGGGAAATTAGCTCTTCCAGCCCCTCGGAACATCATCATTTTATTTGATGTCGGCGCTTTTTTTTCCTGTCCCAAGCAGCATCAGTTGATGTCCGCCTCTTCGGCGCTCTTGCGCTTTGAACGCGGGACAGGGAGGAAAGCTGCGCTATCTCATCTGCTCGGCTGCTGCAGGCGGTTAAATAACCTGCCACAATTACCAAGCAGGAGTGTTTTTCCCGCTCCCCACATCGTCGTTGGTACACAGCCGCCAGTACCACAGCTGTATCGGGGGATTCGGAGAGGCACTTCAACGGAAAAAATACCCGATTTGTTTCACCACATAGTGTACATACAACATGCGGATGCCACCGGCTGTGCTACTCGGAGTCATGAGACGGATTAATCTTACTGTTGAGATCACCCCTACGGCGGTCGAAGTCGGCTCCCAAACAGTGCTGTACACAGGAGTTGGTTTACTACCAGCAGGCAGCAGGCAGGTGGTATCTCAGTGAGTGAGGCACACAACCCCCCAGAGATGGTGATGGGCCTACCTCCAACAACAACGAACGGGTAAAATATAAGCGGTGGGCCTCACACGCCAATAATAATGTTAATGCAATTGTTGTGTTGTGTCCCCCCTCAACCGCGTCATTCCAACCACCCAGGAGAGAGTAGAGCTTGGGTACGCGTAGATGGTAAGACTCCTACAGGCATCTCGGGGTCACAACCATGCGCACGAATTTCGATTTCCCTGCAACATCACAACAAAACAACACAAGCAAACAACACAACAGAACCGACCAAAGACTATGACTGTAAAAATAACCATTTATAGTCATCGTAGTCTTTGGAACCGACGAAGGCGAAGCACGACAACTGCGGCGTCAGGGTGGTCGCTCTGCTATCTGTCGGCCCCCCTTCTCCGCAGTTGCGCAGTTTCCGCGGGCTCTCTCTCCCGCTCCCAGCGTGTCGGCTGTTTGTCTCGCTAGGGGAGGCACACACACGCCTGGAACACCCTCCAAGGTCTCGGTCATGGGTTGCATATCGGTAAGAACATCAGTGTTAGGCCAGCCCCCGTGCGATGGAGTTGCTTCTCATCCCGTGCTTGACTGGAGTATGCTGCTCGTTGTTCTTTTCTTCACATCGCCACTCACTGAATCTCTAGGTAGTAGCACAGCACAATTGAGCAGCTTTTTCGGTCATATTTGCCGTTTGCCCGCCGCCGCGCTACGTCAACATGCATCCGAGAGAGAGAGAGAGAGAGAGAGAGAGAGACAGGAGGTGTGTGCAAACCTCTGCTTTGGCTTCCATGGCATCCCCACGCTATTCGCACGCCTTCGAATTGCGCGTGTGTCTCTCGGCGTGTTGGCCGTGTCGTGCATGTTACTCCCCTGTCTCGCGTGTCATTCATTACTGCTGCTCTGTACACCTGCTCTCTCCTTTCCGCGCTCTTTTTATTGTAGTCGAAGAACGCAAATGGGGGTTCGGGCGACTCTGGGGGTGCTGCGGCTCCAGGCTCCCTCCAGGGGCAACAGACGGCCCAGCAGGCAGCAGGCGGGGGAGCACCCGTGTCGACCAGGGACATCTCGCTGGGCGGCAAGTCGAAGGGCGGGGCGGTGGGGTCGAGCGAGCCGAGGCCGGGCTTCGAGCAGACGTATCAGCTGGGCAAGGAGCTCGGGCACGGTTCCTTCTCAACCGTACGGGAAGGGACGCACAAGGTGGGTTTCTTCGTGTGCCGCTACCAGTACACTGAGCAGTTTGTTTGCTGTTTATTGTCTGCTGTATTGTCAACCATACTGCCGCGTGCTTCAAGATGCTGCTGGGGGGGTGTTACCGCCGTGTGTGCATTACCCCCCCCCCCCTGCTGGATGCTGCTGCTGCTGGCGTGCATGCGTGCAGGGGGGGCGGAACCTCCCTCGTAGCTGCAAGCACTCTCTGATTACTCGTAATTTTCTCGCCGAAAGGGACGCGGGGCAGGGAGGGGGGGGGGGGGGGGTGCTGCTCAGCATACATGCGCGTGTGTCGTTGGCTAAATAAATGCTTTGCTGTTGTGGTTTTGGTCCTTTGGTTGGACTCTTGGTGGACCTCTATTAACTGGTTGGACGTACGATCGCATAAGTCATTGAAGTACATACAACAGCAGTAATACGAAGCAAGAGAGGACAGGAGAGAATGGTGTACACTGCTGCTTTTGGGCTGGGGGTGGGGCGCTAGCCGATGAGTGCCGCTGGCTTCGTTGCTCTCTTGGCTATCCCTAAGCATTGCCGAAACCCGCAGTACCGCAGATTTTTTTTTGGGGAGTACATCGCCGCCGTCGCGCTCATCATGTTGGCACGCATTTTGTGTGATTTTCTCCTTCTATAATAGTTCCGCTTTGATTTGCCAAACAGCGCGAACAAAACGTTCCTGGAAATATTGCTGCCACAGCGGTTCCACACACGTTGGTGTGTTCCCGCCGCACGAATAATTTTCGTGAAAAACTTAAATTATATTTTTCCGCGGAAGAGAAAATGCAGCAACTGAAAGGACTAACTGGTGTGCCCGTCGAGATAAGTACGTACCTACATAGAGCAAAACAATTCTGCTAATTGAATCACACTTCTATATGCACGACACAACGGAGGGATTCTCCCCGATATTTTGTCGTTGACCCAGAAGAGAACTACAGGGGATGTATTGTAAAATGTAAGTTACCTACAATATACAGATGTTTTTGTACTTGGCACCAGCTGGCATCCTGGTATAAATCATCAGTGTATAGACTTAAAAAATACTCGAAATAAGTCCAGTACCCAGCCGGTTTCCCTCCACTCACTGAGAAGACTCCACCACATCCCGTTCGACTGTGGGCCTATCTCGAATGGGTAGTCTTTCTGTGTGTGTTTTTATTATTCATTAATTACTTGTCTCGCGCGCCGTCTACACAGCAATCCGAAGGGTGCGTGTCGTTGCAGTGATTGGAGGAGAACAACTGTTGAAACGTCCACCTAGGAAACGATGGGCTCGTCGATGGCAAAGAAAGAGCACGCCATGGTTCCTGAAACGTACAAGCGTTGTGATCAGTTCGTCGGGCATTTCGCTGCCACAGATGCTGCTGCCTGCTACCGGTTCAACCCATCTCGGTACACAGTATGTAGCATCATTATCATCATCAGGTGTTCTCGCTTTACATATGAAAAAGGGCAGATGGATGCCCGTGTACATGGGCCGTTTTTTTGGGCGTAGGCCAAGAGCATTCACTGGGAAGGAGTGCCGAAAAGTCTGGAAGCTGCCGGTTCACTGCCGTCAGGATTAAGAATCATCCCAGAGCCCTCTCGAGGGCGCGGCGGATTGCATGACGACCACCACCGCCTGCTCTAGCTGCACGTTCATTACTATCTAGCGCACCGAGAAAATGTGGCACTCGTCAGCGGCTTCCTTCGAAACATACCTACACCTCTTCCGCCTCGCTGTTGGTTGGGTGTTGTTGCCTCAGAGTCCCTCCGGACGACGCATCCGCTGAAACGTTCCGCATTACACATCTGAAAAATACAGCAGTTGTTAAGACGGTCAAGGCACAACCGACTGGAACGGGGCACGAATTCCCTGTTCGTTTTTTGTTTTCTGTTGTTTTTGGGGTTGAGTCCCTGCTACCCTCGCACGAAGGGCGAGCGCATCGAGCCGAGATATGAAAAGCAGCACACCACACCATTCACCCCCACACTTCGGACATAGTGTAGGTAGGCAGGTAGCGACCTCATCGTCTTAGGTCGACGGGTCGCACGAGAGCCTCCCCGCTCCCGCCCCTACGCCCTACGCTTCGTTTGCTTGTTCTATGGTATGGTAAAAGTAGATCTTAGTGCTGACAGCAGTCTTTGGTCTTGCTTGTTCTATATGGCAAGGGCAGATCTTGACTTGATGTTGACCGCGGTCTTGGTCTTGCTTGAGATATATCGTACAATGAGATCTTGTACCAAGTGTTGACAGCAGTCTTGGTCTTGCTTGTTCTATCGGAAAAGGAAGGCTCGGCGATGGAGAAAGGTGGTTTCTTGTTTCTCCTACTGCAGAGATCAACATCGTGGAGAATCATGCTGGTCTTGGGCTTGGGGGTCGCCATTCACGATGGAACGTTGTAGTGAAACCACGTTTCTAAGACTTGGTTGGACAATCTGACGGAGAGAGCTTCAGCAGCAGCAACAGCGGCGGCGGCGGCGGCGGCGTTGATGTGCTTGTTTGCGGATGTGCTACTCAATATTCAGCACTTTCAAAACCCCACCCGCCCACCCACCCAACCCGTGCTTGTTTATCCCTCACCCTGGCGTGTTCCAGGATAATGGCGAACGATTCGCCGTTAAGTGCGTGAAGCGGGCGGATTTGCCTCCGGACGACGAGGCGGACCTGAAGATGGAGGTCAAGCTCTTGCAGGAGGTGAGTGAGCCGGAAGGCGCTCCTAGGGATGAGTGATGGGGGATTGGATCATGTCTGGGAACACGTCGTTGTCGTTGCCGTTGTGGTTGTCTTTGTGGATGTTGTTGTTGTTGTTGTCGCGCTACACCGCTCGGTGACCGGGGCTAAGGCCAAGCGACGACTTTTGCGGCTTCGCTTGGCATGCTGTTGAGGAGAGGTTTTATTATTATTGATGATTGTTAGTCGACTGCGAGGATTTTCAGGCCCTGTCGTCAGCTAGGCCTACTTTCGGCCGTGCCGCAGGGAGACATGACTGCCTGGATTCTTCACACCTGGAAACAGGCTGCGCACAATGGTGTCGTAGTTTGTTATTTGCTGACGTTTCACATCTTGTTCTTTGGTGTTGCGGGAGCGTACTACAGGGTGGTGGCTCAACTTTGTAGACTATTTTTTGTCTTTTTGGTTTTTATTCCTGCCGTCGGCATTGGAGAACGTGGTCAACAAACAAGGCTACTAGGAAACATACGAGTAGCACATTCGCTCACCTGCTGTCGTATTCTTTTTCCGAGGTATATCGTCATCATTATCTTGCGTTCTGTCTTGTGCGAGACTTGGCCCGTTTTTCCCGCCTGCTTGCCAACCTTCCTGCCTGCCTTCTTCCTTGCCTGCGTGGCTGTCGCCGGTCGTTTTTCTTTCTTTCTTTTTTTTTCGCCGCCGACGGCTATAGATCGAACACGAGAACATCGTCAAGCTCTACGACTTCTACGAGGAAAAGCACTTCTACTACCTCGTCATGGAGATTCTCAACGGAGGGGAGTTGTTCGACCGCATCGTGCTCAAGCAGTTTTACAACGAAAAGGAGGCCAGGTCAGAAAACACGGCCAAAGGAGGGAGGGGGGGGCACGGGGACATAATGTAAAAACGAGGATGAAGGAATGAGGGTGGAACGTGTTGACCGGAAGTGAAGATCGAAAAATGCGAGGGAAAGGGTGGCGCATGGAAGGAAGCCAGTAGATGGGGATCGGGGAATGAACTGCCAAAGTGCAGCAGTTTGAGGGGTGCAGGGCGGAGCCGGTGTCGTCAAGAGAAAGACGGAGAAGATGCTTGTGTTATGGCCAAAACTCGCAGGGGGACGAAGAAACCGACGAGCAGAAACGAGGAGATGCACGAAAATACAGTAGCCGCCAAGGGAGGGATTTGAAGCGGAAGAGGGAAGCGGGAGGAGGTATACGAAGCCGAGAAAGTTGTCACTGGCTCATTTCCCGGGGGTGCACAGGCGAAGGGGCAGAGCGGAAACGGGGGCCCCGGGGGGGGGGGGGGGGGGGGTTGGTTAATAGGGCTTTGGTTCCCCCCTTTTGGGGGGGGCCCCCCCTTTTTGCAAAGGGAAAAAAAACCTTTTTTTTCCTTTTTTTTGGCCCCCCCCTTTTTAAATTTTTGTTTGGGGTTCCCCCGGTGAACCCCCAGGAAAAACTAAATTTTTTCCAATTTTTTTTTTTTTGGGGGGGAATGTTTGGGCCTTTTTTTGGGGCCCCCCCTTTTTTGCCCGGGCCCCCCCCCTTGCGGGGAAAAAAAATTTTTTTTTAAGCCCCCCAAAACAAAAAAACCAAATTAATTGAGGGGCCCGGATGGCGTGGTTTTCCCCCCCTTTTAAGGGGACTGTTTGAAGGGGTTTTTTAAGGCCTTCCCTATTTGCCCCAAAAAAAAATTTGGCCCAGGGGTTTTCAACCCGGAAAATTTTTTTTGGGTTACCGCCA